ATTTAATAAGGTAATTAACAGCACCCTGATAAAGATTATTTGACTTCTAGCTGACGTTGAGACTGAGACATAAGGGGGCTCTTGAGTTTGTACAGATGGTGGTGGGCAGTGATGAGGATGATAGTCAGCCACACAAGTTAGGAGGCAGAAGGAATACTAATGGGGGAAAGAGAGAGGACACCAGAGATGAACTTTAGCTATAGCTCTTGCTGGCTACGCCATTCAAATTAATTTGGAATGCCAAATAGGTAAGCAACGCCTATTCTATTCTGGGACTTGTTCACCTTGGTCTCTATCATAATTCATAGTCCAAGGGGATCCCTAAAGCTGCTTTAGGGAGCAAATTTTGTTCATGTCCAATATCTTAGACATGTCCTTTGGGTAAACATATCCATGTGGCTTTGTTGTTTTTCTGTCATTTTAGTCAGGTTCAACTCTTTGTGAGCCCATTTGGGGTTTTCTTGGCAAAGATAGTAGTTTGCCATTTCCTTCTCCAGCTCATTTTACAGATGAGGAACCTGAAGCAAACAGGGTTAAATGACTTGCCCAGGGTCACACAGTTAGTAAGTGTTTGAAGCTGGATTTGAACTTAGGTCTTCCTGACTCCAAGCCTATCAAAGTCTGCTGTGTCAACTAGCTGTCCTATGTATTGCACTGGCCTTTAAATTTTTTTTTAAATTACAAATAATGCTAGTATGAAAATCTTCAAACATATAGCTATTTTTTGTTTTTATTTTTGATCACATTATTAGGATATATTCCCAATAATGGAATTATTAGGTAAAAGTGTATGATTGTTTTTGCAACTTCTATTATGTATTGCTAGATTGTTCACCAAAGAAATTCTGTTTGTAATGCCACTAGCAACAAATGAGTGAACCTGACCCAACCTGCCAGTACTGGGTTTCATTATCTTTAATATTTTTTCAACCATCTGATTGGAATGAGGTACAATTTCAAGGTTATTTTAATTTGCATCCTTTTTGGTTCTTTGTTGTTATTAGTGAGGTACAATTTTTTTCAAATGATTATGAATAATTTATAATTTCTCTTTTCATATTCCTTGACCATTTGCTTTGATGTTTATATTAAACCATCTGTGTCAAAGGGGACAACACTTGGCATATGTTTTCTATTTCAAAAGGAAGGGGAAAGGTTAGAAAATCAAACCCTCTCTGAATATCACTGCTTTCAGTCTCATTACAGCATTCTGTCAATGTCCTTATGTCAACCTAATGTGACCCTAGGTTGCATATCGCTTAAACCCAATGTCCTAAACACGTCCAGACCTATGAGTAAACAGATGTGTGTTGTCTATGAATCTGGGGGGCAGCTGGGTGGTGCAGTGGATAGAGCACTGGACCTGGAGTTGGGAGGGCCTGAGTTCAAATACCGCCTCAGACACTTGACACTTACTAGCTATGTGACCCTGGGCAAGTCATTTAACCCCATTGCCTAGCAAAAAATAAACAAAAAAACTAAATCTGGTCTCAGATACTTACAAGCTGTGTTACTCACATTGAGTCACTTAACCTCTGTTTGTCTCAGTTTTCTGAACTGAAAAATGGGGATGAAAATAGCATCTACCTTGCAGGGTTGTTATGAAGGCTCAAATGAGATAATATTTGTAAAAATGTTTAGCACAGTGCCTGGCATTAATAGGTGCTATATAAATGCTTATTCCTTTCTCTCACCTTTCCCGTGGGGTAGCCATAAGAGTCTGGAGCACTCTTAAAAGCTGGTTAACTAGGGTAATGTCTAGAAATGGGTGAGATAGTATGGAAGAATACTTTATTATTTGTCATTTGTTAATTGTACTTGAGCCTAGCTCTATGTGGCTAAAAAAATGTCTAACCAAAAACTTACCGTAGAGGTCAATGACCTCAGAGAGATTCAAGGGAAGCCGGATGGCTATATGGTGTGCTTGGAGTTCATCCAGTGCTTGTTTGGGGTCTGCTCAGGTCTTGTTTTGGTCCCACCCAAAGCTCATGTTTTGAATTCCCCAAATTTTATGAACACACCTGTTAATACACATCTCTAAGTGCCCTTCTCAGGACGCCACCTACTGCCTACATAGACCAATCAGGCAAACGTCCTTATGTCCTTGTCTGAGCCCTATATAATAGAATCTCACAAATATTCAGCAGAGAGCTAACCCTGCTTCTGGCCCTCTCCTCTGTCAAATGACCAAATAAATTTCTTTCTAAAACTATTTCAGATTTTGGGGTTCGTTCTTGTGACTAAAATATGGAATAGCTGACTTTTACTGAAGGAGTGGTCCAAGACAGATACTATACCCCTCTAAACACTACTCAGTGTCTTCTACCCACCTGGCATTTTTTCTCCCATAGAGTATTCAGGGTCACATTCTCCACTCTCTCAGATGGGAAGAGCTTGGTTCCAAATGCCTCCTGGATCCGTTGAATCAAGTATTCATGGTGGACATCATCCATGGCATAGAAGTGGTTGAAATCCAGGAAGACAACTTCTTTGGGGTGCTGTGTGAGGAAAGAGTCGATCTCCATCAGCCCGTCCCAGACTCTGATGCCAAAAAGACCATGGATGAAGTAGATCTCCCGGTTAGCATCACCAGGCTTGGATGACACACGCAGGTCAAAGTAGCGGATCCCTGCCTCTAGCTGCTCCCTGAATGTCAGGTTCTGAGTCACAGACCATTTCTTCATCAGCTTTTTTACAAAGGAGACCCTGGCAAGACGCTTGATAGCTGGTGTTTGGTCTGGTCCCACGGGGGACTTTTCATCTACCCAGTAGCTGAAAGAATCATGGGACCCTAAAGGAAGAAAGAATAAAACAGGTGATAAGTGCTGAAAGCAGCAAATTTGTAATTCTCATAGTCAATGTGTTTCCCTCCCCACCAGAGGGATAAAAGGCCCTGGCATCTCCAGCCTTGTAGTCAGGAAAGCCTGAGTTCAAATCTGGCCTCAGATACTTGCCAGCTGTGTGACCCTGGATAAGTTACTTAACACTGTTTGCCTCAGTTTCCTCATCTGTATAATGAACTGGAGAAGGAAATGGCAAACCACTCCAGTATCTTTGCCAAGAAAACCCCAAATGAGGTCATGAAGAGTTGGATATGACTGAACAACAACAAGCAATCTTTTCTTCTCCCCTCATCCACCTCCAATCATAGGAGCTAGAGATGGAAAGAACTTCAGAGATCATCTAGTTGAACCCTGTCTCTTTACACATGAAGAAACTAAAGTCCGGAGAGATGAAGTTCACTTTCACAAAATCACATAGGCAAATATGCAGCAGATCTGAGATAGGATCAATGACCTTTGTGTCTAAATATGGTGACCTTTCTACAATGAATGAATGAATTAACGAATGAATAAGCAATTATTAAGTGCCTACTATGTGCCAAACATTGTGCTAACACTGGGGGAAAGGAAGGGAATAATCATTTATGGGATACCTACTATGTGCTGGGTGCTGTGCTAAGCATTTTTACAAATACTGTCTCATTTGATCCTCACAACAATCCTGCAAGGGAGGTTCCATTTTCATCCTCATTTTATAGTTGAGGAAACTAAGGCAAACAGGTTAAGTGACTTGTCCAGTGTCACTTCTAAGAAGCATCTAAAGTTGGATTTGGACTCAGGTCTTCCTGATCCAAGGCCCAGCACTCTATCCACTGAACCACCAACTGCCTCTGGGAATAGAAAAAGTAGGATAGGGGGCAGCTAGGTGGCACAGTGGATAGAGCACTGGCCCTGGAGTCAGGAGGACCTGAGTTCAAATTTGGCCTCAGACATTTGACACTTACTAGCTGTGACCCTGGGCAAGTCACTTAACCCCATTGCCTAGCCAAAAAAAGAAAAGGAAAAAAAAAGAAAAAGTAGGATAGTTCCTGCTCTCAAGGAGCCCCCACTCTTATTGGGGGAGACAACACATAAAAGAAACTGCTTCTTCAGAGACAGACTGAAAAGCCCCGAAATCTTAACAGAGCTAATGGTGAAGGTCAGAGATCCTTAGGTTACTATGGGAGGTAAGATGACAGTACCAGATATCTACAGAGCACAGAAGCAGGGCACATTGTAAAACCTAGAGGATCTTAGGAGGCAATGGAAGGGAAGGTGGTAAAGCCTGGTGGTCTTCTGTCTCACTGGAAGGAATGAAGCTGGGGACTCTCATTTTATCCAAACCATATGAGCAGTCAAGCAGCCCCGTGAGTTCTGGGCAACTAAGGGAGGGGGGAAAAGGGGACTAGAGTCCCTGTTGGGGGTAGGTCTTCCAATACCTCTATTGTCCAATATGGGTTCTGTTGCAAATGCCAGAATTTCAAAAGGCATTTTGTTAATAAAGGTTATACTACTTTGAACATTCCTGGGGGATTGGAGGGGGATTTGTAGTGATAGAGTACCTTTATCTTAAGGCAGTCACAGCTCTTATTCTGATAGATAAGATGGCCTGGAATAACACTTGACTTGAAGTAAGAAGATACAGCATTTTTAACCTTTTATCCCTCTCTTTTTAAATTTTTCTTAAGAGATAACTCTCTGGGCAAGGGATAGAAGGAATATATTGGTAAATGTAGGTGACATAAAAACAGAAGATACTAATAAATAAATATACATTAAAAAATGGAGATGTTTACTTGGTTATTCCAGACTTCTTTTTTCTACCAGTGAAATCCTTGTATTCAATTCAACAAAGATATCCACCATTTGCAAGAAATCATGCTAAGTTCTTAGACTGCAAAGGTAACAGTTTCAATGTTCATTTCTCACAAGAAATTCACAATTGAATAGAGGAAATGTGGCCTGTTCACAAATGAGCACAATATAAAGTAGAGTGTAATAAATGAAAAGTAGAAATCCTAGGAAGGCGATATAAGAAAATATGGGGAGGGAATGATCACTTTTAGGTAGGGGGTTAGAGTACTTCATGGAGGAAATGTCAGCTATGCTGGGCCTTGAAAGAAGAGGATTTCAATGTGAAAAGATTTGAACCAGATATGTTCTTAGGTATGGGGGACAAGAGAGTATAAGGCAAATCTAGTTGTATACTTTGGTTGAATGCAGAAAATGGACAATAGTATTAGGAGATAATATTGTGTGTATGTAAGGTAAATTGTGGAGGGTCTTAAATGCTAGGGTAATAAGTTTATATTTTATTCTGTAGCTGACAGGGAGCTATTGAAGGTTTTGGGGCAGAGGAATAAAAGTGTCAGGCTTATGAATTAAGAAGAATATCTTAACAATTATGTGATGAATGGACTAGAGAAAGGAGATACTAGAGGTAGAGACACCTTAAAAACAGCTATTCCAGTGGTTCAGGTGAGAGGTGACAAGAGGTTGACCTAGTATGAGTGAAGAGGTGCTATGGAAGTAGAACTCTTAGGACTTTGGCCACTGACTGTTGCAAGAGTGACATCTATCTGATACCTATCAGGCTAGGCTGGTTTTTCCTTAAAAGGTTTCAAAACCATTGGTCCAGGGTCCCAAGGTTCAAACCACTATCTTATTTTTCTAGTACCTAAATGCAAAAGTCAGCCCATAAGGAGTCAGAAACTGTCCTCAGGTTTGACCAGTATTTCCAATGAAGAGGTAGGGAATCTATATTTAACTGAATCAATGCTGTATCCTTGATGAATATTCTGTCTATTCTACAGTTAAGCAAACCTCTTCTTGTCAATCGCAAAACAATTTATGAGTCTTATTTCATTCCTCTTCTGAACCAGAACAACCAGACTGGCTTGAGCCACTACTACTATACCCCAACAGGAAAGGGAAAGATTAAAGATGACTCATAAGTTTCAAACTTAGCTTAACCGATGGGATGGTGTGCCATCAAGAGGAAAAAGGGAAACTGAGGGAAGAGACAAGTTTTGGAGGGAAGATCATGAATTAATTTTGGGACATTCAGATGGCAGTGTCTAACAACAACAGGCAGCTAGAAATGTAGGAGAAGGGCTCAGAGAAGAGCTTCAATTTTGAGATAAGGTTTTGGGATCGATCTGCCTAAAAAGTTATGGAAGTTATGGAAGCAAATGAGTCACAAAGAGAGTGTAGAGTAGAGGCACAAAACAAGAGGACTGAGGACAAGGCCTTGGGTGACACCAGCCCTTCAGGGGCAGGAGGAAGAAGATCAGAAAAGAAACAGATGTAAAACAGTCAAGGAGGGAGAAAACCAAGGATAGCAATGTCTTAGAAGCAAATGGAAGAGAGCGTTAAGAAGAAAAAAATCAATAACTGTGTTAACCAGTGAAGAGAGGTCAAGGAGTATGAGAAGTGAGGGGAAAAAAAAGTATTGGATTTGTTAATTAAGAGGCATTTGGTGACCTTGGAGAGAGCAGTTTGAGGAGAGTGGTAAGTATAGAATCCAAACTATAGGCGTTTGAAGAGTGAGTAGTTAATGAGGCAGTTGATGAAATCAGTAAGGATAAACTATTCTTTCTATAAGTTTAACAGTGAAGGGAAGAAGAGATTTAGGACAATAGCTAGAGGGTGGTGGTGGTGTTTGGGTCAAAGAAAGGTGGCAGTGTTTTGGTTTTTGTTTGTTTTGTTTTGTTTTGTTTTTTCCCTTAGGGTAAGGGCTGTTAAGTACGTTTGTAGACAGAGGGGAAAGAGCCTACAGTCAAGAAGATATTGAAGATAGAACAAGATCTCATAAAAAATAATTAGCCAGGGGCAGCGAGGTGGCACAATGGATAGAGCACTGGCTCTGGAGTCAGGAGGACCTGAGTTCAAATCTGACCTCAGACCTTTGATACTTACTAGCTGCATGACCCTGGGCAAGTCCCTTAACCCCAACTGCCTCTCCCCAAAACAAAAAATAATTAGCCAGCCAATAAATAAGCATTTATTAAGTGCCTACTATATGCTAGGCACTATGCTAAGCACTGGGGATACAAAGAAAGCAAAAAAAAAAATCCAAAAGTTCCTGCTCTCAAGGAACTCATATTCTAATGGGGAAGACAACATGCAAACTATGTACAAACAACATATATACATGATAAATTAAAGAGAATCTTAGAAATAAAGCACTAAAAGTAAAGGAATTTGGAAACACTTCATACAGGAAGTAGGATTTTAGTTGGGACCTGAAGGAATCCAGGAGATTAAAATGAGGGGTGAAAGGATGTCAGATAGGAGGAACAGCCTCTGAAAATGTGCCAGATTAGGAAATAGAGTGTCATGCAAGGAACCAAGAAGAGGCCAATAATCTCTGGATCACAGAATATGTTGAGGGGATTAAAGTATAAATAAGATTGGAAAAGTAAGAAGGAGTTACCAAGTGCTTTAAAAGCTAAACAGAGGATTTTATATTTGATTTTGGAGGTAATACGGAGCCCCTGGAGAAAGAAGGCAAGGATTGGCAAGAAGAAGGCCACCTCCTCTGCAACTGAAAAGGTGAAGGTGAGAAGGGAGGGAGGACGTAGAGAGGTGTACAAAAGGGGGAGATAAGAGAGTTCGCTGTGGAAGATCTCAGTGTTCTTAGTAAAGTTCCAGGCCATCAGTGTAGAATTGAGAGACCTGAGAGAGAAGGTTCATTGTAACCAATCTATGAAAACAAATCAGAAATGAACAAAAGAATTGCCATTTGCCAATAAGGGCTCACCTAAGGAGGGATAGCTCAGCATGGATAAATGAATTTTCCCAAAAGTCCTCTGGAGCTTAGATTTAGGAATAGAAATTAGTAAGGTGGGGTCAATCCCTGCTTAGGGACTGCCAAGTGTGAACAAGATAGAAACAAGAAGTCTAGTGGTTCAGGGGTGGAAAATGTCTCATTGCTAGTAGACTATGTTAATTAGTTGTGAAGGGAAGG